TTAATAGATTGATTCAAAGATCAGCAATAATTGTACTTCAATATGGAAGCTACGCACGACGTTATATGAAAAATAACTTCGATGTTGTAGCTTTATGCGTGACGTGTTAACGTCGATAAAGGAAACGAAACTACTATATTGTACGGCAACTATATTTTCATTTTAAATGAATATTACCCCAGCTTCTCTTTCAGAACGTTATTGGTGTTTATTTCAATTGAAATACTAATTATTGACTTTCCGTAATATTCAATGTAAGTAGACATATCAGAGGGAATGATAGTTCTCTTCAGACGGCATCGGCAGTGCCCGCAATTTCGAGTATAGTGATTTGAAGAATATTTTCTGAACATTCAGGTCAGAGACAGTCATGACCAGAGCACCGTGATCCATGTTGTTATAATCGGTGACGTACCACTTCCCTGTTTGCAAATTGTCTCCATGCTCCTGTAAGGTAGCTTTATGCGCGCATGCACACTTCGCAGTGCCGTCTTCGTGGGTTCCGACTAGCCCATTGAGATAATTGCTAGTTTCTACGGATTGATCGGCATGGGTGAAGCACAATCCAGGGTGACTTTGCAACACTGTCGGCACAACGCAGTCATTGCGACGCAATCCATTGTTGATGGCCGCTACTTTCTCTTCAGTACTTACGTCCAGGTTGGGATACATTGTTTGCAATGATTTTACGTCGTAGTTATGCATCCCTAGGAAAGCTCCTACGGGTGAAAGAAGGGTCGCTGTGGTGGGCATGTGTATGCCACTCCAAGAAGACTCTTCAGTGAGTGTTTTAGTAAAGCTGAAATAGTAAGTGCAGTCGAAAGCATCCACCATCTTGTCGTTCATTCGCGAGCATTTCCCGGGTGTCATGTCATATAAGCCATGATCGTAAGAGTTCTCCATGGGAGTATTCCATATGGACGCGCCAAGCATAGAAAACCACTCACTCCAGGAATCGGCCTCAGTTCGCCCAGTTTTTCCAAAATGTGCGAAGTATGGATTATAAAGGTTATTTCTGAGCACTGAGATATCCATCCAATCGTACAATCGAAAAGCCCTTTCAAGCAATTTACCTGGTGCCAATGCCCGAAATGAACTCGATTCGCCAATACTTAGGCCCGCAACATCATGAACGATCGACGCTCCGTTGAGGGGCGCTGCTATCGCAGTGAGACTGAATATCCAGTCAGCTGCTGTGTCGTACCCCGGGAAGCGTTGTTCGTGCAGATACTGCTGTAGTGCACGCGCCGTGTTTCCTCCAAAACTGTAGCCAATGATGTGTATCGGGTTCTCAGATGACCATTCTGCATAAGCAGGTGTTTTGAATGTACGTCCGTAGCGAGCATGACCACATTTTTGCGAATGCTCTTCCCCATAATCCACAGTGCCCCCTACCATTTGATAGAAAAGCTCGCATACTCGATCGTGCTGCGAGCTTATTGGGCCGATGTCGCTAACGATTACATTATGATGGTGTTTCATACCGTTCCACCAGTAATAGTCTTGTCCCTCGCCGAAGAATCCGTGCACTAAGAGAACTGGAGCGTTTGCTGCGGTATGTGTATCATTGATGCGAGGGGACTGAGAAAGAAGTTTCTCGATCTGCTTCGGTGACTTTCTTACAAGTGGACTGAGGGCCTGGACCAACTGCTTCACATCAGTTTCATATTTGAAAACTGTATTGTCGCTGGGGATATCGTGCAGAGATAGTGAACCAGGTAGGGGCGTGTTATTTAGAAGTGGTGCCATTGCTTGTCTAAAGATAGGTAGTTTGTTGCTCTTGTGAGATTGTGTTGGTTAATATGCCGTTTCCAGATTGATGTTCTACTATTTGTAGTCATTTGGACCCTTGCTGAATTGCTAGGTGGAATGTCCACTATAAATGCCAGATACCTCAAAGTTCGTCCGTGGCTATCTATATACAAGTTCTAAAATATCTACAAGACCATCCTTTCACAGCGTTATTCTGATTACTATTAGCGAAGATTCGGAATTGGCAGAATAAATTCGCACTATGTATTGATTATCGAAAAGTTATTTGTAGACTTGAAGTTGTGTTGTAAATATAACATATTACAAGAAATAAAAGAGTAAACATACACAAGGAGTTGAATCTGGACCCTTGGAGTTTGGAGTTAGGACTCTGAAGTTCCGAGTACATATGTGCACATAGCGTTTATAGCAATAAATATTGACAAAAAAAAAATGACTGGTGGCCGTGACAGTCCAGTGACCAGTCGCCAGTCAGACTGCCAGGCTGAGTCAGTGAGTCACACCACAGCCCGAGAGGCCGAGGCGCCGAGCCGAGCCCGCCGAGATTCAGGACAATTCTGGAACACCCTGACTGTCAGCCAGACTACTATAGTACTGACTACTGACTGTAGAGACTAGAGAGAGTAGAGACTATGGAGAGCTTCACTGAAACGTGAAAGACCGTCAAAGTCCTCCGGAATTTCGGTGTGCGTACATACTTTGTCTTCATATGGTGCAATCGCCGTAAAATGAGACAGGAAACCACTACTTCAGCCAGGCACAACACACACTAATAGTGACCCGATTCGGATGTTTGATAGCGGAAAATGCTCACAAAGACCTGATTGAGAAAACCGCCCAGGACACATTTTTGGATTTTTACATAGTTCAAAATCTAGTTTTGACAAAATCTTAATTTGGCCGTTTGTGGTGGAATCCACATTGCAGAACTAATTTTGCACTTTTGAGGGCAGAAATCGACATGCCAGCCCATTTCTAAGACTCATGAAAGGTGTATTTTTTGTACTCTAAAAATAATAAAAATAGCTTCTACTAGATATCTCAGCTGTAACTATATCGTACACATTCTCGGGTACCCGGCGGTGAGAAGTGTACTTCTTCTTGGCAAATTCTGCCTATATATATATATATATATATATATAT